AGAAATACATTTTTACCAGAAGTATGTCTATTTTAAGGTCTTATTATCAGGAAATTGCAATGTTCTGGGTAACACATTGGCATTCTAATTTCACAAGTTCTGGAGATTGCACTATCTAATTTCCACTACCATTGAAAAAGTCCCAATTTCCTCTAATTTCATATTATAAAATGCGGTAAAATATGATTAAATTTCAAAATAACCATAAAAAGAGTGTTGAAACGATTGTGGATTCTCATTATTTCATTAAAAAAATATTAGTTCCCAACCACCAAAGCTCTGGAAAGTGCATTTTTTATGTATCCCCCGAGCAAAAGTTCAATTTCATACATTCAGATGCCAAAATGCCGATTTATGACCAAAATGACAACGAAATGGATATTCAAGTGTTCGTGGACTCCCATTATTTTCACGAAAAAATAGCAGTTTTCTAAGACCAAAATGTCGTCAGAAGTCTATTTCACGTGTTTTCCGAACAAAAACATTATTTTGAATATTGAACATTGACTCGAACCTGAAAATGTCTGGATCGATGTGCCATTGAATGTGATCCATAAGTATCGTATTGTTCACAAGTTTATAATTGCAACACCGGAGATAACCTTTTGGATTCCCGTGTTCCGATAAATAGTGTGTTCTAGCTATTTTGACAGTATCGAGTTGAGTATCACAGAAATCACATTTTTTGTTGAAATATTCATCCATAATATTTCTGATTTGTACTTCGCTTATATTGTACTCAATGTTTCTTATTTCGTTTATATAATCTGTGAAGAAAAGAAAATGAAATGCCGAAAATGTTCAAACAACGCTGAAAAAATTGTTCGGCTGTAATTATTAACCGTCAAAATCTATGCCTTCCGAATGTGTCATTTTCGTGTGATGTTCCAAACGCTGCCGAGTCTTGAAACTAAAAAGATAATTTAGATAAATGCGAGTGACGTCATCAATAGCTCGGGACCTTGAGTACTACAACTTTGCCGAAGACACCAAGTTGATATCTCCTATCAGTTCCGCGAAAACCGTGAAAAACCGCGACAAAAAATGGGAAAATTTGCGATATTATCGGCTGTTAATAACATATTATTAACAGCGATGTTAATAAATATCATCAGAAATGTTAATAATTATTAACATGGATGTTAATAAAATATTATGATGAAAATCATAATAATATAGTATGATCATACTATCGGTATTAACATCGCATGTTAATAATATATTAGTATGATAATACCGGTATTAACTGGTATTAACTAGTAAGTAATAGCGATATTGACAGGCGATGTTAATAACGTATCAGTTGTTAATATCGCCTAGTTAATAATATATTATTAATAATTATTGTGCAGCTATAATATTCATGTTTGCTTTCTTCTAATTCCATATTCTCATCTTCTCCTTCCAATACCATTTTGATGGGCCTCAATGGGTCAACACAAACCATTTCCTGGTGGATCTCTGGCGGAATCACACATTCTAAATAATGTACACGAATCAAGCATCCAAACAGCGAGAGACTGACCAATATTACCTTCAATGTTTTCATCTTTGACAGCACTGTTGATACTTTGCAGATAGTCTTCGCGCAATGCAATGACTTCTTGGGAAAACTGGCGAAATTCTTCGATTTTGTCCCAACATTCGATGGAAATAACTTTTGGCAAAATATCCGAATCGTTGACCTTCAAGGATTAGGAGTAGTTCCCTTATAATTATAGTCATTTGTTGGAATCTGCCGGTTTTATTGAGTCGAACGACTTACCTCGTCGTGAAAATACTGCTTCAGTGTGTCAATTATATTCGGTATCGATGCAGAAATCTCGCATATACTAATGTATTCTATGTCTTGTGTTTAACACAAACGACACAGGTTTGGTTCCATTTTTACTTCCATCTCGTAACTTTTTCCGTTCATTCAGAACTCAAGCCAGAAAATTCAACTCAAGTTGTTCATATCCGAATGTTTTGTTTACAATGTGTCAAATGAACTTCGTTCTGAAAGATCTGTCAAAGTGTAGTTTATCATCAATTGACACCAGATGGTGTTTCGGTTGAACGGTTGTGCTTTGTTTAAAGTTTCCAAATTAAGTAAAACCAAGTCTAACTAAGATTAGTTTCATTCCGTTATTGACAATATTCACAACACGGCAAAAATACATATATACATGCTCAGTCATTGCTTGGATGAATTTTTATATAAGAACCAGTCCAAAATGGGCTATAAAACAGATTAATTGATGTATCGGCCATTCCACTCGAAATCAGGGAAGAGTCTAGGGGAATATCACGCAAAAAATTCTATTGAATTTCTATTGATTTTTGCATTTTCTAAAAATTAATTTCAATTATATTAAATTATGCGAGATATCTGAGATTTTTTTCATTTTGGTCGATTTTTGCAGATATTTTAATGCTGGAAGTGGGTTTTGGCGGATCCTCAGGATCGTTCAGAACTGCTCCCGATTCTGGAAGTGGGTTTTGGTGGATCTTCAGGATGGACCAGACTTGGTTTGACAATGCCCTGGCCCATCCTGAGGATCCACTTCCAGAACCGGGAGCAGTACTAAACGATCCTGAGGATCCACCAAAACCCACTTCCCGAATTTTTGAAGCGGTAATGACGTCAGCACATGGTGAATATGAGTGAATAATACAGATTTTGCGAAATATTTGAAATAGCTTAGATTTCATTAGATTTTAATGAAATAAATGAGATAGAAATAAGTTTTGCGAATAAAAATTGCGTGATATTCCCCTAGGGAAGAGTTGTAATGTGAGGTCGCCGAATTGGCTGAAAATTGGCTTGGAGTCTTGTTTTCGATAGAAGAAGAGAAAACCAAAATCTCAGGCCTGTAAGTGGCCCACATTTCTGAGTTCACCCAGTGTAAATTTTGCAAAAAATCGAAAAAATCGAAAAAAAGGGTTTGCGCCAACTGAAAACTAACTAAAAAGTAGTTGACACATTACCAAACCATTAGTAATGTTGGAAAGGGAATTGATGGGGCTACAAAAGCCGCCTAGTAACCTACCCTCTTCGACCCTATTGGAGCCTTTAAAAATGGGTTCAAAGTATAAAATGTTAAATATCTCAAAAGAGTGGTGTTTTTTTTGACATGCTTTTTTTGACATGTTTTTTGCGCTTATGTCGCGCCGCTTCAGATGGAAAAATAAAATTTCGTGTATACCCCGTGTAAAATCTCCATTTTGAGTGATTTTTTCGATGAAAAAGTCGATTTGAGACCAAAATACAACAAAATGGGTGTTTAATTGTTCACAGGCCCCCATTATTTTCGAAAATAAATAGGAGTTTTCTAACGTAAAATTATAGAATTACGCAAATTTAAGATACCTCCCTGGAAAATAAAAACCATTCACGATTGAATGCAGAATAGGGAATTTTTGAAGCAAAAAAAGTGTTTTTATTGCGAGTTGAAAACATCCTCCGAAGCAGGGTCATTTTTCGACCTTTTAGACAGGATTTAGATAAGTCTACATCGATTTTCCGTCAAAAATTACGTGGAAATAGAATCATGACAGCCCATTATAGGTGGGTTTTCTATGCCACAAATGTGATTTTGTAAGCAGATTTCGACCATTCGTTTGTTCTATGAAGAAAAGTCAGTTTCGGACCAAATTTATAGGTAAACCGACGTGGAAAAGGTCGTTTTTTCATGTATTTTGACGAAAAAATAGCAGTTTTCTCATATCAAAATGTCGTAAGAGGCTATTTTCGACCATTTTTCCCACAAAAACGCTGAAAAATGACATATGACTCACCTGCCGAGGCCAGATACACGAACTGAATACTGTATACACGAAATTTTATTTTTCCATCTGAAGCGGCGCGACATAAACGCAAAAAACCCACTCTTTTGAGATATTTAACATTTTATACTTTGAACCCATTTTTGGAGGTTCCAATGGGGCCATAGAGAATAGGTTACTAGGCGGCTTTTGTAGCCCCATCAATTCCCTTTCTAACGGTACCAATGGTTTGGCAATGTGTCAATTACTTCACAGTTAGATTTTAGTTACCGCAAACCCTTTTTTTCGATTTTTTGCAAAATTTACACTGGGTGAACTCAGAAATGTGGGCCTCTTACAGGCCTGAGATTTTGGTTTTCTCTTTTTCTATCGAAAAAAAGACTCCAAGCCAATTTTCAGCCAATTCGGCGACCCCACATTACAACTCTTCCCTGATTTCGTGTGGAATGGCCGATGTGTCTCTCTTTTTTATATGACTAATTTGCTTTTATTTAACCCTTAGATCGCTCACCTCGGGTCTGGCTGGACCCCTTTGTATTTGTATGCATTTGTATGGGAATAAGGTATGCATGCCATCTCATTTTTCACGAGACTGATAAAAGATAAGTGATATCTGTCTTCAGCAAAGTTATAGAGCAGGTCAAGTTCTACAATTTATTTCAGTTCACCATCTCCTTATCTCTTATCAGTTACGTGAAATACGCGAAAAACCGCAGAAGACCGCTAGTATGATGGATAGTTTTGATTATCATTTTTTGCGTAACTGATAACGAGATAAAGAAGAGATAAGTGATAACTGTCTTCGACAAAGTGGTAGGGCAGATAAAGTACTACAACTTTGCCCAGAGCATAAATTCGTTATCTCTTATCAGTTGCGCGAAACACCGCGAAAAACGTAAGATATCTCTTATCATTTTTCGCGGAACTGATAAGAGATAATGAGATGGCGAATGGAAGAAAATTGTATAACTTGACCCGCTCAATAACTTTGCTGAAGACAGTTATCACTTATCTTTTATCAGTCTCATGAAAAATAAGATGGCATGCATACCTTATTCCCATACAAATGCATACAAATACATAGGGGTCCAGCCAGACCCGAGGTGAGCGATCTAAGGGTTTTAAATATGTGAACGAAGGAGGGTTAATCAATCATTGCGACATTTTTGTAACGGTTTCCTAAGATGCTGACAATTTGATGAGATGCTTCTACTTGAGTTGCCATAGACACATTTACTCTTCAATTCAAACTGTTTTATATATTTCCTCATGATTCTAACAATTTAAAATTGTAATAGAAATATGATTCATTGAGAATAAAAACAGTGTATTTAATTAGTGGCCGAACAAGGGAAACACAGCGTGAGATTTTCTATTTATTATTGTTTTACAATAACAACTCCGTATGAAGAAAAAACGCTTCGTTCCATTCGGCACTGTTTTTATGCCCACCGGTTCATATGTTATGCTCATTTGTCAGAAGTAATCTTCATCTTCTACGGCTTCATTTGTGCTGCCTTTTTCTTGGCCTTGTCGGCTAGCCATTCTGCTGTATGTATCTTGCGATGCTTATACATGTTGGTACGCCAAATGAATGTCTCATCGCAATATGTGCACTTGTAGTGTTTCTCGTTCAGGTGTGTCCCGATATGACTCTAAAATGATCGTTCGGTTACTTTGACATTTGAGAAGATAAAGTTGATCGATTGAAAAATAACAACAACCTACCTTGAGTGAATCCTTCGACTTGCATATTTTGTCACACAAATGGCACTTAAAATCAGGAGCACAGTGAACCTGTCGTATGTGAGACTTTAGTGCATTCAGGTTAGCCGACATTCGACCACATTGGTTGCATTTCTGTGGCCCTGTCGTGTGCATCAGCTGATGTGTCTTCAATATGCCTTTTGTCGCATACCAAGCCTGGCATATGTTACACTGAAACTTTGGCCTCGGCTCTGGTGGCTCGGTCGAATGCTTTCTTAAATGCTTTTCCAGTTGTTGTTTTGTTGGAAATGCCTTTGAACATCAATTGAAATTGATCACATTTAAAACGATTCGGTCTTGGTCTGTCTTGAATTCATTAGTAATTAAAAACAAAACCTTACCTTTGCACAAAATTCACAAATCGATAGTGATTCAGACGATTTATTTTTGTTCGGATTGTGAGTATCATAGTGAATTTGGAAGCATCTTTTCGTGAAATACCTAGATCGAATAAATAGAATTGGTTTTAATTAGTCTTTAATCTACTACAGTTTTTTTTTTACATATTTTCTTTTTGAATTTGCATTTCTTTTCGAAAAATGGTGACAATCAAGTCTGACAAAAACAACAAACTTACGCTTTATTACATATATTGCAAATAAATCTTGGTCGCATCCCTTTATGTGATCTCATATGTTTTCTCAAGTTATTAGCATCGCGAAATGATCGTTGACACTCTTCACAGAAGAACTTTTTTGTGTGCAGCACCTTGTGTTGGCTTAACGTAAGACGGCTTGTCATTGATTTATTGCAAATGTCGCATCTATTCGATGTTAATCAAGAGAAATATTTTATTCACCATGAAATATGATCAAGAATTTGCGATAAAATATTGAAAAAATACGAATAAATGGAATTTTCCAAATTTTCATCATATCATGAAATTCACCTGAAAATATTCGGGTTTCTGTGCCATTCCATGTGATCTCTAATCAGGTGCAACCGATGAAATTTCTCTGAAATCAAAATTAAATGACAACCATCGCGAGAGTTAAAATACAACACAATCGTAGTGAAATAAAGCGGATGAATTGAATAATGCTCACTTTGACAACATTTCACATATCCATCCTTTGTCCCGTGAACGTCCAAGTAATGCGATTGTACTGCATTGAATGAGGTAAATGTTTTTTCTGAACACAAATCACACGATGCATCAACATAGTCGGAAATTTCCAAATCATCTTCTTCTGGCTCTGGCTCAATCAGGTCTATCTCCTTATGCACACGTTCTACATGAGCTTTATATATATAGCCGCGTTCAAAGTTTTTCTCACATAGATTGCAATAAAACTGTTTTTGTTGCAGAATTTGATGGCTTTTTATGTGCTTAAGTAGATTTGGTCGACCGTTTGTCTCTTTTTTGCATAATCGACACCTGGAATAAAATGGAATCGATAAAGAAGTTTGATCAATAATCGACTATATTGGAGTCATTTTTGTGGCGTTCCCACTCGCATTTAACGTCCATTGTAGAAGCTTACTGGTCAAAATTCAAACATCAACATATGGAAGTGGAGGAAATGACGCCAAGCTGCACGAGGTTATTTTAGACAGATATTTAACGAGTTCGTTATTTTTGTTATAATATTCAGGTTTTGGGTCATTTTTCTTTTCTTTTCACAAGCAATTTTATTCCTTCCAAAGCGATTCTGAACACTCAGATCTCATAAAATAATTTATACAGTCAAACAAAGTCAACCTGAATATCTTGCTTAGTTTATATTGTTTTTTTTTTTCATTCAAAGTACAAGAATAAAAACAGCTTATGCAATCCTGATTTGGCCAAGAGCAACTATCGCTTGATGAATGAGTTTGAGAATGATATTTCAATCGGTGCATTATAAACCGACTAAACATGCGCTCTTTATTGTCATATCCAGTCAATGACAGATAGCTGAGGATATATGCTGAGCATAGGAACTCAGCAAGCTGAGATTGGGACGTTTGGATTTTGTGACTTGCTATTCGTGCAAATTTATGTGAAATTTCGGTGGAGTGTTGATGGAGTGTAATGTAAAATGTGTTTCAAACTTCCCTCCATCATAAATTTGTTTGAATAGCACGTCACAAAGTCAAAATATCCCAATCTCAGCTTGCTGAGTTTCTATTCTCAGCATATATCCTCAGCTATCTGTCATTGACTGGTCATATCGTATTTCTGAACAATTATTTTGTAATAGTCTTGCTTGACATAATCAAAAGTTCCCATAATTAAGGCAATCGGATATGGTTTCGCCAGAAATTTCAAACTTTTTAACACAAAATCGTTCTGTATGATCTTCAAATTTTTCTCTGATGCGTAAATAGTTGTGTTTGTAAGCTCTGCTGATTGGATTTTGGATTACTGAGCCCCATGATAACTAAATACCATGATAGTCCAAGACAAAATTAAAAGACTAAAATGATTCATAACTGGTTCTATCTCTAGTTTAGTTCCATGTTATTAATTAATTCAACAGGCTGGAAATCGAGAATCGTTTGGTTGTCTTTATCAGTTGCATAGAAATCGCCGTCTATGTTCTATTTAACTGAGTTCTTCTTGCTTCACTTTATTACGATTTGAAACACGAGATTTTACAAAATCTTTTTGTTTCGGAGAGTGTGAATATCAATCGCAATACTTCATGAGGGTCATCATTTGACATAGAATTGGCTTCTCTTTAAATTAACGCTAGCCACTTTTTCTTTTTCAGATTCGAGAAACACCCTACTTACATACACACGCGCAAAATACAAATCGTACATACTTGAATGTGTCTGGATTGATGTGCCATTGGATGTGATCCATAACAATTTGATTATGGCGAAGTTTTATATTGCAGCACTTGATGTATCCGAATTGGACGTCGTGTTGTGATAAATAATGTGGTCGGGCCGTTTTTATGCCATCAAACACCACATCACAGAAATCACATTTCATATTGAAATGGGCATCCATGACACTCTTAATTTGTTCTGGGCTCAAATTTATTTTTATATTACGCACATCTTCTTCATAGCCTGCAACAAAAAACGACAACGAAAAACGACAACATTAAACGACAAAACTCTATGAATGATGAAGAGAAAGTTACCATCTAATCCTTTCGGATGTGCCATTTTGACATGAGTGTCCAAGTGCTTCTGCATTCTGAAACTGAAATGGTAAAAGGGGTTGTAATTCGGATTTCATCAAGAAAATTGCGCTCAGATTTATGAGAGAATGCTTAAAAAAGTCCGGATTTTTTTCGTAGTCATTATTCTTCCAATTTTGTTCAGAATATATAATTCACTTGTCATAAAACAATTCACATTTGCTCACCTCTCATCGCATTGATCGCACGGAAACTTCGACCTTGCCACATGTATCTCACGCATATGTCGTTTCATTGAGTTCTTCAGCAGGAATGTCTTTTGGCATATGTCGCAAGTGTATTGAGTCGTGTGACCAGCCTTGTGTTCCGCAAGATTGTTATAACTCCTCTTGATTATGCCACAAACGTTGCACCTGTTATTTGGGAAATTGCAAATTTTTGCCAAACAAATTATTTTTTGCTGGATGAAATACTTTGAGTCACAAGATAACTTTGCTAACAAAACTATTTTTTTTTAGTTGTCAATTGAAACTAAACTCACTTGAACACCTCCGGATTTAAATGCCACACGATATGCCATTTGAATATTGATCGCGATGTGAATTTCGATTGACAGCAACGTACATAGCCTCGCGGCTGATTAATATGATTCATCGCATAATGTGCGGTGGCATCGTCCGTTGATTTTAAAATTGTTTCACAATAAATACACTTCATGTCGAAGTATTGATCAATAACTTGTTGCTGTTGTTCAGGAGTCACTTCGTCGATGTGCCGTGGAAGTTCGTTGTTATCCGTCCCATGTGGCAGTTCATTTGAGTCAACAAATATTGAACTGTCGTCGTAATCAAACTCATCATTATCGTCACATTCATTGTTATCTGAAAATTCGTGTTTATCCAACGGTTCAAGGTGTATTATACTTTCGGCTGATTCAATAGCCTCGTCTTCTCTCTCAACTATCGTTGGTTGCACTGGCTCCACGCAAATAATCTCCCGATGGATTTCTGGCTCGACATTCAAACTGGCACATTCTGAAAATTTTGTACAACAAATCAAGCACCAGCCAAAAGTAGCGCAACACCGACGATTGTTACCTGCTGTGTCTTCAACTTTGACAGCGTTGTTGAGATGTTGTCGCAGATATTGTTCACGCAATGCAAAGACCTCTTCCGAAAACTTGTGGAACGCTTCTACTTTGTCCAAACAGTCGTAGCAAATTACTTTTGGTAATATATCCGAGTCGCTTACCTATAAGGATTCAGAAGAGAGTTTCCAAGGGGTTCGTTCATCGAAAGGTGGACTGGTAAAAACTTACTTTATCGTAAAAATATTGCTGTAGACTGTCAACAATATTCAATGCCGATGCAGTATCTCCGAATATACTGACGTATTCTACAACCTGTGTGTAACACAAACGACAACAATCCGGTTCTTTTTTCACATCCATCTCGAGTTTTTTGCGTTTATTTCGAATAAAATCACAAATTAAAAACAATTTTCATTCATCCGAATATTTTGTTTACAATATGTCATCATAGTTTCGGTTTTGAAAGAACTGTCAAACTGTGAAGTTTGATGCGAGTTGACAGCAGGTGGAGCTTCGGTTCAACTCATAGTGACACTTGAAGTGACTGAATGGAGAACGAAATTCAAAAAATAGGAAATGGGATTTTTTTGCGGTTTTCAATTTCAATGAAACAGAACGTACGCAGAAATGCAACCTATCATTACTTTGCCAAATTTCAAATAGGCACTTGAATAAGACTGGTTAATGAAGTAGATAGTTTGATTTTCATGTTAATGGAATATTCGAATGTTTTACCACTTACGACGGGTTTGTCTTAAGAAGCTAATAAAACATGGGCAACAGTACTTTCTTTTTGTTTTGTTTTGTTTTTGGAGTCAAGTAATAAACATCTTCAGAATCGTAAAAGTTCGAGAGTATTAATATTTCCCTACAACCTAAAAAACTATGAAAATGTTTTTTTTTTCTGTAACAATCGAAGCAATTTTATTTTAAAATTCTTTGACGGATAATTGTCTGCTTGATTTATCTAAAAATGTTGTACTTGTCCATCAGAAGAGATATATCTTGCGAGCGTTTTTTGTCGCACCTATTTCTTGCCTTTATCGGCCAGCCACTCCTCTTCGTGCATTTGTTTCCGATGTTTGTACATGTTTTGACGCCAAACGAATGTCATATCACAATAGGTGCACTTGTGGCTCTTGTTGTTCAAATGCGTTGCAATGTGATCCTAGGACAAGATTGGAAGATTCCTAATTAACATAAGTCTAAAACAGAAAGAGACCCAATAATACATACTCTGAGTGATGCTGGCAATTTGAACGATTTCTCGCATAAATGACAGTTGAGTATCGTATCACTATGATTCCTTCGTATATGCTGTTCCAGTGCATGTGGATTAGGAGTAATTTTATCACATTGACTGCATTTCTGCGGCTCTGCATCGTGTTTCATTTTATGTGCTTTCAAAATACCCTTCGAAGTATACCATCCTTTACATATATCACACTGGAATTTTGGCTTTGTTTTAGGTGCTACATCTAGATGTTTTTCCTGATGGAGTTTCAGTTTGGTTTTTGTTTTGAATTTCTTAAACAAAAAGTAAAATATTAAAACCGATCAAACCGTTGATTTGCACTCTTTGTATTGATCAGAACTCGTCTTACCTTCGCACAGAACTCACAAATCTGATCGTGTTTTAAATCATGTATTTTACGATGGTTATTTAGATTATTTCGGTTAGGGAATCTATTTGGAATCATAAGCACATTATCTGATGATTTTATTCATGATAATCTGAAATTTATATACCCACCGTTTGTCGCACACATCGCAAATGAAATTGCCTTGTATTTCATGATTGCGATATTTATGCATTTCTAAATGGTCTCTCAACAGATTTCCAACTTTAAACGACTTCTTGCACGTGTGGCAATAATACTTATTTGAATGCCAATCATTGTGTTGTTTCAAACGGTATCGACTTGGCAGTGATTCTTTGCAGACCTCGCACCTATTTTGAATCGTTGAAGGAGCAACAAATTATTCGAATTACCAAAGTTACGATTCAAATATGGAAAACTCGAGTGAAATGCAGAGATATTTTGAAATTACCTGAAAATATCCGGATTATTGTGCAATGCAATGTGATCTCTGATATGACTTAATTGGGAAAATTTCTTATGGCAACACGTCACCGACCCAACTGATCTGTGGATGTCTAAATAATGTGATTGCATTTCTTTGAACGAGGTAAACGTTGTTGCTGGACACAGATCACACGTTGTATCAAAATAGCCCGGTATCTCTATGTCATTGGCATTGTTATCACTCGAATTGGGTTCAACCGACGAAGAAATCGTTTGTATTCCGGAATGTTTGCGTTCCATATGCCTTCCACATCGTGCACTGGTCGCAAAGTGTTGATCACAAATGAAGCATTCTAACAGCTCTGTTGTTGAAATTTCATACCCTTTCAAATGTTTAATGAATGCTTTTCGATGCTTGTGTTCTAGCTTACATACTCGACATCTGAAAAATTCAGTGAAAAAAAACTTGGTATAATATAACTCGCGCCTGCGTTGTCCGGCTGTGATATTCGGTATTCGTTAATTTAGTAAGGATTGGGGTAAGCTGTTCAAAAAGAACTTTGTGCATTTGAGTTGAACCTGAAAATGTCTGGATCGATGTGACATTGAACGTGTTCCAAAACGGTTTTGTTATTATAAATTTTAGTTTCGCAACATCGGAGATAGCCTATTGGATGCCCGTGTTCTGATAAATAGTGTGATTTGGCCATTGTGATACTATCGAGCTGAGCATCACATTGATCACATTTTTTCTCGAAAAATTCCTCCATTATTCTTTTGACTTGATCTTCGCTTGGATTACATTCCAATTTTCTTATTTCCTCCAAATAATCTAGAAATCAGTAAAATTATGTGCCAAAAATATTCGTAAATCCGTTTATCAATATGAATAAATTTATAAACCCATTTTGGTCACACGTTGCGAAAACGCAACGGTGCAGATTTCCTGGACTGGGGCCATTCAGACACGAAATTTTCAATGATTTCCAAAAGGGGAAATGTAGTTTATTTCAAAATTCAACCGCTGTGTTTCTGCGTTTTGGCTAATTTTAATGTCTAGGGAGTCCATCAATGGTCGGTAGGCCCTGTCCAAAAATTCAGAAAATCGGCAAAAAAACGTCCAAAAAACCAAAGGGGGACCCTTGGAAATGTGAATATTTTTTTTAAAGATAGTGGAGAGGTTGAAGTCAATTTTTCATATTCATGCCAAAACTAGCTTCTGTGCCAATTTTCAGCTCATTCTGTCGAGCAGAAAAAGTGCGGGCCAAAATGGGTTAAAAGCAATTATTTACCACTTAATAACTCTTTCGAATGCTTAAAGTGATGGTGATCTTCCAAACGTTTTCGAGACCCAAAACTGGAAATGCATGAACAGAAAGAGAACATGGAAGAAAAACAATATTTCCACATTAAACAATATCTAAATTATTATTCAATGCTGTTCAAAATACTCACCTCTCGTCGCATTGATTGCATGGGAATTTCATTTTTGATACGTGCACTGCAAGCATATGTGTTTCGAGTCTTTTTTTCATACTATATTCTCTCTGGCATATGTCACACGTGTATCGCACACTTTCATTGCACTGTGGCAGCTTATTAGAGTCAAATACTTCTTCGTAAGCTTCATCGTCATTGGGAGATCCCCGTTCATCAGTTAGATTATAATGTAAGTTACTTTCTTCCAATTCCATATTCTCATCTTCTTCTTCAATTAACATTTTTATGGCCCTCAATGGATCAACACAAACTATTTCCCGATGGATCTCTGGCGGAATCACACATTCTGAAAATGTACACGAATCAAGCGTCAAAATCCAAACAGTGAGAGACTGAACAATATTACCTTCAATGTGTTCATCTTTGACAGCACTGTTGAGACGTTGGAGATATTCTTCACGCAATTCGATAACCTCTTCGGAAAACTTGCGAAATGATTCAATCCTGTCCCAACATTCGATGCAAATTACTTTTGGCAAAATATCCGAATCGTTGACCTTCAAGTATTTAGAGTAGTTTCCTTATAATTATGGTCATTTGTTGGAATAAGCCGATTTTATTGAGTGAAACGACTTACCTCATCGTCAAAGTACTGCTTCAGTGTGTCGACTATAGTCGGCATCGATGTAGCATTTTCGAATATATCAAAGTATTCCACCGGTTGTGTATAACACAGACGACACAGATCTGACTCCTTTTTTATTTCCATCACTTTATCCTATTATTTATTGAGAATAAATCCACTAAATTCAAACCAAATCTTTATTTATCCGAATGTTGTGCTTACAATGTGTCAAACAGACTTTGTTTTGATAGGTCTGTCAAAGTGTAGTTTTGTATGAATTAACGTTAGATGGTGCTTCCGCTACAATTAAGGAGAGATTTTTGAAAAATGTAACATAGGTAACAGTCGAGGGGAAATTACTCTTTTCACTGAAAAGTAATAGTTAGAAAAAAAGTAAATGTCAAATATTACATCTTCAATTACTTTTTCTCTTTCAATTACTTTTTCTCCAACTATTACTTTTCAATGAAAAGTAATTGAAATGAGTGATTTCCCCCTCGATAACAGTACATTCTTTTTATTTTATTTCATTTTATTGTTTGCTCTTTTACATATACTTGATGTAAGAAATGAAGTAAAAAACGTTGCACCATATTTCATTTACCTACCACCTAAAAACGGTGACCGGTCATATTTTCCCCGGTCATAACTTCCCTCATACAAAATGAATGGAGAATTTATAGCCCCAAATGACGGAGAAAATAATTCCATTTCAAATTTGGACATAACTTCCCCATCGAAAAAATTTTGATTAGAGAAAATATGTCCAAATATCAGAAGGATTCATATCCAAATGCATATGGACATAATTTCTCGGGGAAATTATTACCAAAAATGCTGTGAAATTATTTCCAAATAAAAATGGACATAATTTCACCACGTATTTTTCACCGAATAATTGTACATAAATAATAAAATTAGCGAGGTTTGTTTGTTTTTGTTTTATTTGTTCACCGCTTTTTTGTTTACAGCTTATTTTTATTTATCCATTTTATTTATTCACCGCCAAGCAAAAAAAAAATTAGTTTAATTTAGTTCACTAAAAACAATGAAAATGTGTTTTTTTCTGTAACAATAAAAAATTCGAGGAGGCAATTTCATTATAAATTTTTTTGAAAGATTATCTGCTTGAATAATCAAAAAATGTTGTACTTGGCCATGGAAGAAATGCAAAGTTTCATTTTTGTCGCATTTATTTCTTGCCTTTATCGGCCAGCCATTCTTCATGAAGCTTGCGATGCTTGTACATATTTTGACGCCAAACGAATGTCATATCACAATAGGTGCACTTGTGGCTCTTGTTGTTCAAATGCGTTGCAATGTGATCCTAGGAAAAGATGACAAGATGATAAGATTCCTAATTAACATAAGTCCAAAATAGGAAGAGACCTGATAATACTTACTCTGAGTGATGCTGGCAATTTGAACGACTTCTCGCATAAATGACAGTTGAAATTGGCTTCACTATTGTGAGTGTACCGAATATGCTGTTCCAGTGCTTGTGCATTGGGGGAAACTTTATCACATTGATTGCATTTCTGTGGCTCTGAATTGTGTTTTATTTTGTGTGCCTTCAAGCTGCTTTTCGGATACCATCCATTGCACACATCACATTGCAATTTCGCTTCCGGTTGCTTTGTTTCAGTAGAATGTTTTTTGAGTATATGATTTTTCAACTCCACAATGGTTTTGAATTCCTTGAAAATAATTTAATTGTCAAAAAATCGGTATATTTGAAGTGAACTAAGTGTATGTCTCACCTTGGCGCAGAATTCACAAATATGGTCATACCTAAGATTGTCTGTGTGCATTTTACGATGCTTTTCCATCGTCTCTTCGTAGCGAAATCTGTTTGTGATAATGAACATGTTAATGCATTGACATCGCACTATCTATCCATAATATATTTATATGGAAGAAAGAGTCCTTGTAGCTACAAGGTAATTCACTCACTTTTTGTGGCAGACATCGCACACAATATTTCGCTTGAGTGTTTCACGAGCTTTATGTGTATTCATATGTTGCTTTAGATGATTTGTACTTCCAAATGACCTGTTGCATACATCGCATTGAAATTTATTTGCATGCAAATCGTTATGTCGAAGTAAAGTTCTACGATTTGGCAGTGATTTGTTGCAAACACCGCATCTGACCAAAGATATAGAATAAATTATTATTTGAATTGTTTGCGGTTCGTTTAAATGTTGGCAAACTTGATTAACATGTATGAGACCGTAAATTACCTAAATATATTCGGATCATTGTGCCATGCGATGTGATCTCTGAATTGAGGAAATGTGAAAAACTTACTTTCACAACACTTTACATTTCCGTATGCAGCGCTATGAATATCTAAGTAATGTGATTGCATTTCATAGAACGAGTTAAACGTTGTTGCTGGACACAGATCACACGATGCATCGGCATAGATCGGGATCTCTATGTCATTTTTCAAATCACCATTGTTTTCATTTGGATTGGTTTCGACCGGTGACGAATTCGGTTGCATTTCTGAATGCTTGCGTTCCATATGAATTCGATGCTGTGAGAAGGTCCCAAAGTATTGGTCACAAATGTTGCACATAAATTGCTTTGTTGAGACGATTTTATGTTTTTTCACATGCCTAAGCAGATTATATCGACATTTCGATGCCGTATTGCACAATCGACATCTGAAATATTCAATGAAACGAATTTTCTCATTATGACAATAAATTTGTTCAGCCAATTGGCCAAATTAGATTGGCAACAAATGAAGGAAACGTTTGAATAGAAACATTTCCAACCGTTTTTATTTGGTTGCAAGTGTTTGAATTGAACCTGAATATGTTTGAATCGATGTGCCATTGAATGTGCTCCAGAAACATCGAATTATGTGTGAGTTTATAATTGCAACAACGAAGATAACCATTTGGATTTTTGTGTTTCGCTAAATAGTGCGATTTAGCCATTGTAAGAGTATCGAGCTCAGTATCACAGAGATCACATTTCCTTTCGAAATGTTTGTCCATTACGCTTTTGACTTGCATTTCGCTTGGATGGTATTCTATCTTTTTTACTTCCTCTATATAATCTGTAACAGAATTCATACATAACATTTAACTCTACGAATTTTCACGGAACGTCGAATGGCGTTGCACACGCAACTATTTACCATCTAAATTCACGCCTTTGGAATGTGTCATTTTAACATGATATTGCAAACGCTTCTGAGTCTTGAAGCTGTGAAAATAAATTAACATGAAATCAGTTTGTGGGAATACATTTCTTAAAATACAACATCAACTCACGTTTCATGGCATTTATCACATGGATAATTCCGTTTCATCACGTGCACTTCATGGATATGCCGATCAACTGAGCTTTTTTTGGTGAACTTTGCCATATATCACACGTGAATTGGTTTGTATGTGTGCTTTTGTGTTGTGCATAGAGTTGTGGCGTTTTTTTGGTCACACCACAAATCTGGCATCTGTTTTTCGACAGAATAATACATTTTGATTAAGATCGAATCGAGTAAATAAAACTAACAAGTTAACATAATTCTATGGCCATTAAACTCACTTGAACAATTCAGGATTCAAATGCCACACGATATGGTAATTGAAATCATAAAGCTGCGGCAAATTCATTGAACAACATTTCACATAGCCTCTGGGTTCATTTTTATGATTCACTCTATAATGTTGGGTGGCTTCTTGGCATGTTTGAAATTTGACTTCACAGAAATCGCAACTCATGTCAAAGTACTGGTCAATAATTTGCTGTTGTTGTTCGGGGCTCACTTCACTGATGTGCTGTGGAAGATGCATACCTTCAGTATTCACTGGCAGCTCATTAGATTCAGACACTTCATTGTCATCATCAGTATCATTGGTATAAGAGAATCTCCGTTCATCCATTGACTCATAATGAAGTTTACTTTCTTCCAATTCCATATTCTCATCTTCTTCTTCTTCAATTAATATTTTTATGGGTCGCAACGGGTCAACACAAACCATTTCCTGATGGATTTCTGGCTCAAAATTCGTAATCGCGTATTCTAGAATATGTATAAAAATCAAGGACCAAATTGACGAAAAAACGAAATAATTTACCTTCAAAATTTTCGTTCTTGACTGCGCTGTTTAAATGTTGTCGCAAATATTTTTCACGTAATGCGATGACCTCTTCGGAAAACTTGCGAAATGATTCAATCCTGTCCCAACATTCGATGCAAATTACTTTTGGCAAAATGTCTGAATCGTTGACCTTTAAGGATTTGGAATAGTTTTTTATTATTATATCCATTAGTCAGAATATGCCGGATTTATTGAGTCGAACGAATTACCTCATCGTCAAAATATTGCTTCAGTGTACCGACTATATTCGGTATTGATGCAGTATTCTCGAATATATCAAAGTATTCTACGACTTGTGTATAACACAAACGACAAAAATCTGGTTCCTTTTTAACTTCCATCTCGTAACTTATTTCGTTTCTTCAGAATAAAACCATTAATTTTCAAATAAAACTGTATTTCTCTGAATATTTTGTTTACATTGTGTCAAGTCGATTTTGTTTTCATAGTTCTGTCAAAGTCAAGGTGTCGTTTCATGCAAGTTGACATCAGATGGAGCTTCTGTTCAGCACAACACATTGTTTTTATATTGAACCGAGTGAGGAGCCGAATTTGAAGAAAGAGGGTAAGATTTCAATATGTTTCCTATGGTTTCTTTTTTGCCGCTTCTATCTTGTCTCTATCGGCCAGCCATTCCTCTTCGTGCTGCTGTTTTCTATGTTTATACATGTTTGGCCGCCAAATGAACGTCTCATCACAATAGGTGCACTTGTAGCTCTTGTTGTTCGTATGCGTTGCGACGTGATCCTAAAATAAGTTGTTTGGTAAAATTCAAAACGAAGTTAAGATAAATAATGTAAACATATTATAAAACCGCCGTACCTTTAGTGATGCTTGTGACTTGAGTGATTTGTCACATAAGTGGCATTTGAAATCCGATTCAGCATGGACATTCTTAATATGCTGTTCCAGTGCATGTGTATTAGCTGAAATCTTATCGCATTGATTGCATTTCTGCGGCCCTGAATTGTGTTTGTCTTTGTGTGTTTTCAAACTACCTCTACTTGCATACCATCCATTGCATATGTTGCATTGGAATTTTGGTTTTGTTTTAGGTGCTACATCTAAATGGACCGACAGATGGTGTACCAGTTGTGCTTTTCTTTTAAATTTCTTAAATCAAGAGTAAATTTTTAAAACCGATTAAAACCGTTGATTAACACTTTTGAAGAGTGACTCTTCCGACTGATTAAAAATTGTATTACCTTTGCACAGAACTCACAGATCTGATCATGCTTTAAATCATGTATTTTACGATGGCTATTTAGATGATTTTGGTTAAGGAATCTATTTGAAATCATAAGCACGTTTTATATCATTTTATTCATGATGATTTGAAATTTATATACCCACCGTTTGTCGCAAATGTCGCAACTGAAATTGCGTTGCATTTCACAATTGCGATTTCTATGCATTTCCATATGATCTCTAAATTGATTTCTACGTTTAAACGACTTCTGACACGTGTCGCAATAATACTTATTTGAATGCCAATCATTGTGTTGTTTTAAAACGTATCGGTTTGGCAGTGATTCTTTGCAAACATCACATCTGTTTTGAATCGTTGAAGGAGCAACAAATTATTCGAATTACCGAAGTTACGATTCAAATATGGAAAACTCGAGTAAAATGCAGAGATATTTTTAAATTACCTGAAAACATCCGGATTATTGTGCAATGCAATGTGATCACTGAAAAAAGTTATGCGGGAAAACTTTTTCTGGCAACACGACACTGCCCCGACTGATTTGTGAATCTCTGAATGATGTGATTCCATTTCTTTGAACGAGGTAAACGTTGTTGCTGGACACAGATTGCACGAAGCATCGACATATCCCGGTATCCGTATGTCATTTCCGTTGTTTTCATTAGAATCGATTTCAACCGATGAAGAGCTCGGTTGTATTCCTGGATGATTTCGTTCCATATGAGTTCTGTGTGTTGTGCTGGTCGCATAGTATCGATCACAAATGTTGCACATAAATTGCTGTGATGATAAAGCATTATGCCGTTTCACGTGATCAATGAGTTTATATCGATGCTTGTGTTCTAGCTTGCATACTCGACATCTGAAAAGTTCAGTAAAAAAAACTCTCCATATTATGATATCGTAAGTCGTCACTGAAGTAAGCAATAGAATAAACTGATTGAAAATAAAGATGTAAACGATTTTTCGCGAAAATGGGTTTTCGCGAATTCGTTCGTTCGTTTGCGAATTTAACGAAAACGAACGAAAATGAAAGAAAAAAAAATTTCTCGGACAAAAACGAACGAAAAGTTTGATATTGTTATTCGAACGCGAACGAAAACGAAAATTGAATTTTCTCTGCGAAACGAAAACGAATAAAATTAACGAAAAAACCATAAGCTTTCGTTCCGATTTTCGCGAATTTGTTTGTTTGTTAACGAAAACGAACGAAAATTGGATATCGTTTGGCGATTGCGAACGAAAACGAAAAATTTGAATTCTTAGCGAACGAAGAAAAACGAATTTTCGCATATCGGTGACGAACGCAAACGAAAACGAAAATTGAATTTTATTAGCGAACGAAAACGAAAGCAAAAATGTCCATTCGTTTACACCTTTAATTGAAAACAACATATTTATCGTTATAATTTTGTGTGTTTGAGTTGAACCTGAACGTGTCTGGATCGATGTGCCATTGAACGTGATCCAAAACTGTTCTGTTACTATACATTTTAGTTCCGCAACATCGGAGATAACCGTTCGGATTCTTATGTTCTGACGAATAGTGTGATTTGGCCAGTGTGATACTATCGAGCTGAGCATCACATAGTTCACATTTCCATTCGAAATATCCCTCGATTGTACTTTTTATTTGTACCTCGCTTATATTGAACTCCATGCATTTTATTTCGTTCATATAATCTGCAATGAAATCAGTCAAATTGAATACAAACCATATCGACAGATTTTTTCAACATCAGACACGAACATGTACATTGTACAATAAAAATTATTCACCTTCTAAACCGTTCGAATGAGTCACTTCCAGGTGAATTTCCAAATGCTTTGGAGTATTGAAACTTTAAAGAACAAACTTAGATTATGACTCCATTTTATTGAAATATAGCATTCATTTACCTCTGATCGCATTGATCGCATGGAAATTTCTTTTTAGTTGCATGTACATTGAGAATATGACGTTCTACGGAGCTGAATGCAGTAAATACCTTCTGGCATATGTCACACGTGAATTGGTTGAAATGTTTGAGTTTGTGTTTTTTATAAGATTGCAAAGTTTCCTTGACTTCTCCACAAATCTGGCATCTGTTTTGTTTAGAATAATACATTTTTCATCAGGAGAAATGCTTGTGTTTTGTCAAAGACTACATTTTTTTTCTTTCCATTTTTACTCTAAGGTAATCCAATGTTTGTGTTCACTCACTTAAATACTTGTGAATTTAAATGCCAAACAATATGGGCATTCATGTGAGCATTCTGTGGCCATTTCAGTGAACAACATTTCACATAACCTCGCTGATTGTTATGCTTTACCCTGTAGTGGCGGATGGCTTCTTTCAATGTTCCAAAAGTGATATCACAGAAATCGCAGCTCATGTCAAAGTATTGGTTAATAATTTGCTGTTGCTGTTCGGGGCTTACTTCACTGATGTGTCGGGGAAGTCGAGTGCCTTCGCCACTCTCTGGCAGCTCATTGCGATTGATCAGTTCATGATAAACTTCATTACCATCTGAGAATCCCAGTTCATTCTCTGACCCATAATGAAGTTTGCTTTCTTCTAATTCCATATTTTCATCTCCTCCTTCTATTACCACTTTGATTGGACTCAATCGATCAACACAAACCATTTCCCGATGGAATTCTGGCACAACATTTGGAACCGCGTATTCTGAAAAATGTACATGAATCAAGAAACAAACGTAAATGACAATAAAACGAAGAAATTTACCTTCATCACTTTCGTCTTTGACCGCACTGTTGATGTGTTGTCGCAGATACTCTTCGCGCTTTGCGATGACCTCTTCGGAAAACTTACGAAATGATTCAACTTTGTCCCAACATTCAATGCAAATTACTTTTGGCAAAATGTCCGAGTCGCTCACCTTCAAGGATTTAGATAATTGTCCATTCAATTTTAGTCATTCCTTGACATGTGCTGATTTTACTGAAACGAACGACTTACCTCGTCGTAAAAATACTGCTTCAGCGTGTCGGCTATATTCGGCATCGATGCAGTATTCTCGAATATATAAAAGTATTCAATAGCTTGTGTATAACACAAACGACAACGATCCGCTTCCACTTTTACTTCCATCGCGTATTTTTTTTAGTTTATTCAGAATAAAACCGCAATTTCAACTAAAACTGTGTTTCTCTGAATATTCTGTTTACAATGTGTGCGGTAGATTTTGTTTTGATAGTTCTGTCAAAGTCAAAGTGTCGTTTCATGTGAGTTGACATCAGATGGAGCTCAAATTCAGCCCAGCACATTGTTTTTATATTTAACCGGATGAGGAGCCAAATTCGAAAAATGTCACACAATATTTTCGTTTGGGTCAAATATATGCAAATGGGGGTCAATACAGCGTACAAACGTTTGGGTCAATACAGCGGTGCTATAAAAATGTTCAACATTAGAAACAAACTAGAGAAAACAGTTGTTGAGATTTGATAAAATCTTGGTTTTTTTAATGTTTCTATGTGGTAATTAAAAGCGTTTATTGATTTTGTGATTCAAATCCACCGAAAATATGAGATCGTTTTTCTGTTAGGTTTTTTAAATGGAAAAAATTTCATCTTCGGCCATACAAATGGGTTTACAAACAAGTAGGCCATTCGATTATTCCACCTCGTTATTTTTGTTATTTTTTTATTTTGGTATGAAATTATTGTACTTGGTCAGCACTTGGTCAAGAGATGTATTTCTCATGGATTCATTTTTGCCACTTCTTTATTCGCCTTATCGGCCAGCCATTCTGCTTCGTGCTCATTCTTTCTATGTTTATACATGTTTGACCGCCAAATAAATGTCTCATCACAATAGGTGCACTTATAGACCTTATTGTTCGTATGCGTTGCGTCGTGATCCAATTCAGAATGAAGTGAAGACGAAAAATTATGTAAAAATGTTTTTAAAAAAACCACTGTACCTTCAGTGATGCTTGTGATTTGAGTGATTTGTCACATAAATGGCATTTGAAATCCGATTTAGCATGGACCCTCTTAATATGTTGTTCCAGTGCAAATGGATTAGGGGACATTTTATCACAATGGCTGCATTTCTGTGGTTCCAAATTGTGTTTGTCTTTATGTGTTTTCAAACTACCCCTACTTGCATACCATCCATTGCATATGTTACACTGGAACTTCAGTTTCGTGTTCGGTGCTACATCTAAATGTGTCAACTGATGTTGTTTCAGTTCCGTTTTGCTTTTAAATTTCTTGGATGAAAAGTAAAATATTGAAACCGATTGAAAACCGTTGATTTACAGTTACACTCTTCCAACTGATTAGAATTCATCTTACCTTTGCACAGAACTCACAAATCTGATCATATTTGGAAGTGTGACTTTTACAATGGTTATTCAGATGTTTTTGGCTAAGGAACCTATTTAAAATGATAAGCACATTTATTTATATATTAATGCCAATCTGATGTGTATATACCCACCCTTTGTCGCATACATCGCAAATGAAATTGCGTTGCATTTCACAGTGTATTTCCAAATGGTCATTCAATAGATTTCTACTTTGAAAGGGCTTTTGGCACGTATTGCAAAAAAACTCATTTGAATGCCAATCATTGTGTTGTTTCAAACTGTATCGATTTGGCAGCGATTTGTTACAAATATCACATCTGTTTTGAATCGTTGGAGGAACACCAAATTATTCGAATTACCGGAGTTTCAGTTGAATTTTGGGAAAACTCGAGTGAAATGCAAAGGTGTTTTGAAATAACCAGAAAATATCCGGATTATTGTGCCATGCAATGTGATCTCTGAAATAAGTTAATTTGAAGAAATTCTTCTCGCAGTACGACACCGTCCCAACTGATTTGTGAATGTCTAAATAATGTGATTGCATTTCTTTGAACGAGGTAAACGTTTTTGCTGGGCACCTATCACACGAAGCATCGACATAGCTCGGTATCTCTAGCTTGCATACTCGACATCTGAAAATTTCAATGAAAAAAAAAACTCTTCATATTATGATATCGTTATTCGTCAATTGAAGTAAGCAATAGAATAAACTTATTGAAAGGACATTTATATTGCTATAATTTTGTGTGTTGGAGTTCAACCTGAAAATCTCTGGATCCATGTGCCATAGAACGTGATCCAAAACTGTTTTGTTGTTATACATTCTAATTCCGCAACATCGGAGATATCCGTTTGGATACCCGTGTTCTGATAAATAGTGCGATTTGGCCGTTGTGATACTATCAAGCGGAGCATCACATTGTTCACATTTTCGATCGAAATATTCCCCCATAATTCTTTTGACTTGATCTTCGCTTGGATAACATTCCAAGTTTCTTCTTATTTCCACCAAATAATCTAGATATCAGTGATAGTGTGTACCGAAAATATTCAAAAATCCGTTTATAAATAAACGTATTCAATAGCAATTATTTACCATTTAACCCTCTAATGCATTAATTTTTCCCAGGGAGTACTGGTACTTGGTTGAATTTTGGCCATAATTAATTAAAAAAATATTCATAATCCTGGATTCCTCTTGGTTAAGTCAGGAAATGTGATTGACATAAATCAGAGAACAATCAAATCCATTGTTTCAAAGTGTCAAAAATGTGTCTAATTTGAATTTCGAATAATTTGTTTTGTCAAATTTTTATTTTTGCACACATTTTTGTTCATAACTTTACAATCACACTACATAGACAAATATTGCCAACGACAAAAATGAAGAGAAAACATTGACAAATAAAAATTCCATTTGAAGCAATGTGATCCGATGTACGGTTTACGTTCTACAGGCATTCAAATGTTGCCCGTCTCGAGGCGGTTGTATGCATTAGAGGGTTAATAAAACATTCGAATGCTTCAATTTAAGGTGGACTTCCAAATGCTTTCGGGACTTAAAACTTAAAATGGTAAAAAAGAAAGAGAATATGAAAGAATAACAATATTTCCACATTAAACAAAATCCAAATTACTATTCGGTATTCGTAGATGTTCAAAATGCTAACCTCTCATCGCATTGATCACATGGGAATTTCATTTTTGATACGTGCACACCAAGGATATGACGTTCCAAAGAGTTGAATGCAGTAAACACTCTCTGACATATGTCACACGTGAGCTGGTTGATGTGTGTGCGTTTATGTGAATCATAAGTACTTGGATTCGTTTTGACCACGCCACAAATTGCGCATCTGTTTCTCGACAAATTGATTAAAATGTTGTAAGGATATAAAACTAAAAAGGTAACAGAACTTTAAGTTTCCATTAAACTCACTTGAACAATTCAGGATTCAAATGCCATACAATATGGAAATTGAAGTCATAAGGCCGTGGAAATTTCAGTGAACAACATTTCACATAGCCTCGCGGCTGATTATTATGCTTAACTTCATAGTGCTGAATAGAAATCGCAACTCATATCAAAGTACTGGTCAATGATTTGCTGTTGTTGTTCAGGGCTGACTTCACTGATGTGTCGTGGAAGGTGAATACCTTCACTACTCTCTGGCAACTCATTGGAAGTGAACGCTTTATTTTCATCTTTAAAAGCATTGGTATCAGAGAATTCCCGTTCATCCATTGACTCATATTGAAGTTTACTTTCTTCTAATTCTGTATTCTCATCTTCTTCTTCAATGAACATTTTTATGGACCTCAATGGCTCAACACAGACCATTTCCTGATGGATTTCTGGCTCAACATTTGGAATCGTGTATTCTAGAATAGGCACAAATATCATGGACCGATGGTAAATGGCGAAGAAATGAAGAAAATTACCTCCATAGTCTTCATCTTTGACATTGTTATCCAGTTTTTGTTGCAGATATCCTTCGCGCATTGCGATGACCTCTTCGGAAAACTTCTTGAACTCCTCGACTTTGTGCCAACATTTGATGTTTGGCAAAATATCAGAATCGTTGACCTTCAAGTATGTAGAGTAGGGTTTTTTCGGCATCGTTCAATCGAAAAATGGTAAGTCTCATTCGATAGATCTCAGAATTCTGAGTCGATTGATAATATTTTTGTCGCGGATGGACTTGTGGTGACACTTCCCGAAACTAAGAAAAAAAAATGTTTTCTTCTGAATTTCTATATTAACGTGTGACAACTAGATTCAATTTTATGTTTTCTTGTCAAATTTTTGCTTACAAATTTCAAATCAAATCTGGTTGTCACAGGTTACTATGGAAATTCAGAATAAAACTGTTTTTGTTTTCAGCTTCGGGAAGTGTCATCACAAGTCCATCCGCGACAAAAATATTATCAATCGACTCAAAATCCTGAGATCTATCGAATGAGGCATACCATTTTTTGATTAAACGATGCCGAAAACACCCTAATGTAGAGTAGTTATGGTCATTTGTCGAAATTTACCGGTTTTATCGAGTCGAACGACTTACCTCATCGTCAAAATACTGCTTCAGCTTGTCGACTATAGTCGACATCGATGCATTATTCTCGAATATATCAAAGTATTCAACAGCTTGTGAATAACACAAACGACACAGATCTCGTTCCATCTTTACTTCCATCTCGTTCTCGTTACTTTATTCGTTCCTTCAGAATAAAACCATTAATTTTCAAATAAAACTGTATTTCTCTGAATGTTTTGTTTACAATGTGTGAGATAGATTTTGTTTTGATAGTTCTGTCAAAGTCAAAGTGTTGTTTCATGCGAGTTGACATCAAATGGAGCTTCTGTTCAGCACAACACATTGTTTTTATATTGAACCGAGTGAGGAGCCGAATTTGAAGAAAGAGGGTAAGATTTCAATATGTTTCCTATGGTTTCTTTTTTGCCGCTTCTATCTTGTCTTTATCGGCCAGCCATTCCTCTTCGTGCTGGTGTTTTCTATGTTTATACATGTTTTGGCGCCAGATGAACGTCTCATCACAATAGGTGCACTTATAGCTCTTCTTGTTCGTATGCGTTGCGACGTGATCCTAAAAAAGTTTTTGGTAAAATTCAGAATGGAGTTTGGAAAAATAATGTAAACATATTATAAAACCGCCGTACCTTTAGTGATGCTTGTGACCTGAGTGATTTGTCACATAAGTGGCATTTGAAATTGGCTTCACTATTGTGAATGTACCGAATATGCTGTTCCAGTGCATGTGTATTAGCTGAAACCTTATGGCATTGATTGCATTTCTGTGGCCCTGAATTGTGTTTTGTTTTGTGGTTTATCAAGCTACCCCTGCTTGCATACCATCCTTTACATATATCACACTGGAATTTTGGCTTTGATTTAGGTGCTACATCCAAATGTTTCGACTGATGCTGTTTCAGTTGCGCTTTTGTTTTGAATTTCTTGAAAGAAAAGTAAAATATTAAAACCAATTAGAACCGTTGATTTGCACTCTTCAGACTGATTTGAATTCGTCTCACCTTTGCACAGAACTCACAAATCTGATCGTGTTTTAAATCATGTATTTTATGATGGTTATTTAGATGACTTTGTCTAAGGAATCTATTTGAAATCATAAGCACATTTTATATCATTTTATTCATGACAATTTGAAATTTATATACCCACCGTTTGTCGCAAATTTCGCAACTGAAATTGCGTTGCATTTCACAATTGCGATTTCTATGCATTTCCATATGATCTCTAAATTGATTTCTACGTTTGAACGACTTCTGACACGTGTCGCAATAATACTTATTTGAATGCCAATCATTGTGTTGTTTTAAAACGTATCGGTTTGGCAGTGATTCTTTGCAAACATCACATCTGTTTTGAATCGTTGAAGGAGCAACAAATTATTCGAATTTCCGAAGTTTCGGTTAAATTATGGAAAACTCGAGTGAAATGCAAAGATATTTTAAAATTACCTGAAAACATCTGGACTATTGTGCAATGCAATGTGATCTCGGAAATAAGTTATGTGGGAAAACTTTTTCTGGCAACACGACACCGCCCCGACTGATTTGTGAATCTCTGAATGATGTGATTGCATTTCTTTGAACAAGGTAAACGTTGTTGATGGACACAGATTGCACGAAGCATCGACATATCCCGGTATCCGTATGTCATTTCCATTGTTTTCATTAGAATCGATTTCAACCGATGAAGAGCTCGGTTGTATTCCTGGATGTTTCCGTTCCATATGAGTTCTGTGGTGTGTGCTGGTCGCAAAGTATCTATCACAAATGTTGCACATAAATTGCTTTGTTGATAAAGCATTATGCCGTTTCACGTGATCAATGAGGGTATATCGATACATGTGTTCTAGCTTGCATATTCGACATCTGAGAAGTTCAGCAAAAAAAACTCTCTATCATTAGTCGTACGCAATAGAATAAACTGATTGAAAAGAACATATTTATCGTTATAATTTTATGTGTTTGAGTTGAACCTGAAAGTGTCTGGATCGATGTGCCATTGAACGTGATCCAAGACTGTTTTTTTTGAATTAATTTTAATTCCGCAACACCGGAGATAACCTGTTGGGTTTTTATGTTCTGACGAATAGTGTGATTTGGCCATTGTGATTGTATTGAGCTCAGCATCACATAGTTCACATTTCCGATCGAAATATTTCTCGATTGTACTTTTGATCTGTTCCTCGCTTGTATTGAACTCCATGGATTTTATTTCGTTTATATAATCTGCAATGAAATCAGTCAAATTGAGTACTAACAATATTCACAAGGCTGTTCAATATCAGACCCAAACTAGTACAATGAAAATTATTTACCTTTCAAACCGTTCGAATGATTCACTCCCAGGTGGATTTCCAAATGCTTTTGAGTATTGAAACTTTGAAGAAAAAACTTAGATTATCACTTCATTTAATTGAAATACAGCGTTAACCTACCTCTGATCGCATTGATCGCATGGAAATTTCGCTTTAGATGCATGCACATTAAGAATATGACGTTCTACGGAGCTGAATACAGTAAATACCTTCTGGCAAATGTCGCACGTGAATTGGTTGAAATGTGTGTATTTGTGTTGTCGATAAGATTGATAAGTTTTCTTTACTTCTCCACAAATCTGACACCTATTTTTTGGAATTAAGAAATTTTTCAATGGAAATACTTGTGTTTTTGTCAAAGTGTAACCATTTCTTTATGGATTTCTACTCTAAGGCAATCTAATGTTTGTGTTCACTCACTTGAATACTTCTGGATTCAAATGATATACAATATGGGCATTCATGAGAGAATTCTCTGACAATTTTATTGAACAACATTTCACATAGCCCCGGGACTGATTGTTATGCTTCACTTTGTAGTGGCGGTTGGCTTCTTTCAATGTCCCAAAAGTGACATCACAGAAATCGCAATTCATGTCAAAGTATTGGTCAATAATTTGCTGTTGTTGTTCGGGGCTTACTTCACTGATGTCCCGTGGAAGTCGAGTGCCTTTGCCACTCTCTGGCAGCTCATTGCGATCAATCAGTTCATCATAAACTTCATTACCATCTGAGGATCCCTGTTCATTCCCTGACCCATATTGAAGCTTGCTTTCTTCTTGTTCCAGGTTCTCATCTCCTTCTTCCATTACCACTTTGATGGGCCTCAATGGGTCAACACATAACATTCCTCGTTGGGTTTCTGGCTCAATAACATTTGGAATCGTGTATTCTGAAAAATGTACACGAATCATGGACCAAACGTAAGTGGCGAACCAACAATGTAATTTACTTACCTTCATAATTTTTATCTTTGATAGTGTTCTCCAGATATTGTTGCGAATATTTTTCACGTAATGCGATGACCTCTTCGGAAAACTTACGGAACTCTACAACTCTGTCCCAACATTCAATGCAAATTACTTTTGGCAAAATGTCCGAATCGCTCACCTTCAAAGGTTAAGAGTAGTTTCCATATGATTATCATACCCATTTATCTAAATATGCCGTTTTTTTTTCGAGTGGAACCACTTACCGCGTCCTGAAAATACTGCTTCAGCGTGTCGACTATAGTCGGTATCGATGCAATATTCTCGAATATATCAAAGTATTCAACAGCATGTGAATAACACAAACGACACAGATCTGGTTCCATTTTAACTTCCATTTCGTAATGTTTTTCGTTTCTTCAGAATAAAACCATTAATTTTCAAATAAAACTGTATTTCTCTGAATATTTTGTTTACATTGTGTCAAGTCGATTTTGTTTTGATAGTTCTGTCAAAGTCAAAGTGTTGCAACATGTTTCATGCGAGTTGAAATCAGATGGAGCTTCGGTTCGGCGCAGCACATTTACAGTCAATGTAACCGAACAAGGAGCGAGGTTCGAAAAAAGAGCCTTAAATTTCAATATGTTTCCCATCGTTTCTTCGAGGTCGCTTATTTCTTCTTCTTATCGGCCAACCATTCCTCTTCGTGTTGCTGTTTTCTATGTTTATACATGTTTGAGCGCCAAATGAACGTCTCATCACAATAGGTGCACTTATAGCTCTTCTTGTTCGTATGCGTTGCAATGTGATCCTAAAATAAGTTTATTGAATTTTATTAATTACGAACTATGTCAGTTATATAAATAAATTTAAATGAAAAAACTCCTTTTTCTGACATAAAATAATAATCAAAAAAAATAATCACCTGCTTTTATGTCAGAAAAAGGAGTTTTTTCATTTAAATTTATTTCTAAAATAAGTTGTTTGGTAAAATTTACAGTGCGTACACCCAGCTATAGCGTATTGGTTAGCTTGCTAGCGTTGTAAGCGTGGGCACACGGTTTCGAATCGCATGTGTGCCGAAAATCTTTTTTCTTCAAAATATCATTGGTTTTATCAATGGCATTGTTAATTGATGGATTACAGCCCATGTAAAGGCCCGTGGGGTGCTTCGGAAGGCACTTTAAGCCGTGGGATTCCGTGTACTCAATACAGAAGATGAGTTGTTCGAGTGCACGTAACGCTGTTGGATAAAAAGTGGTTGAATGGTCTCAAACAACAGTCACACCCGCAGTTAGCAACCGGTTGATTGGGATTGTATATCGGGACCACCCACTTCCAAAAACTGGAGCCAGGTATGATAAGTCTGAAAAACTGAAACAGTCTCTGGTACTTTTGTACAAAAGGTCACTGACCTACGCATGGCTTCTGAATTAAGAAAAAAGAAAGCCGCCCTTCCAATCCATCCATCCATCCCAAAATTCACAGTGAAATGAAGACGGAAAATGATGCAAAAAAGTTACAAAACCGTCGTACCTTTAGTGATGCTGGCAATTTGAACGATTTCTCGCATAAATGACAGTTGAGTATCGTATCACTATGATTCCTTCGTATATGCTGTTCCAGTGCATGTGGATTAGGAGTAATTTTATCACATTGACTGCATTTCTGCGGCTCTGCATCGTGTTTCATTTTATGTGCTTTCAAAATACCCTTCGAAGTATACCATACATTACATATATCACACTGGAATTTCGGCTTTGTTTTCGATGCTACATCCAAATGTTTCGACTGATGTTGTATCAGTTCCGTTTTTGTTTTAAATTTCTTAAACGAAAAGTGAAAATTAAAGACGATTAAACCAGTTGATTTGCACTCTTCTGACTGATTTGAATTCATCTTACTTTTGCACAGAACTCACAAATCTGATTATGCTTTGGATCATGTCTTTTACGATGAGTATTCAGCTGGTGTTGGCGCAGAAATCTTTTTAGAATTATGCGCACATTTTTAAATATGTTTATTTATGGCACATTTTCCATGTAAATCTGAAGTGTATATACTCACCCTTTGTCGCATACATCGCAAATGAAATTGCGTTGCTTTTCACAGTGTATTTCCAAATGGTCTTTTAAGAGATTTTTAAGTTTAAACGACTTCTGACACGTGTGACAATAGTACTTATTTGAATGCCAATCATTGTGTTGTTTTAAACTGTATCGGTTTGGCAGCGATTTGTTACAAACATCACATCTGTTTTGAATCGTTTATCAACAAATTATCATTTGAATTACTACAGTTTCAGTTAAACAACCTATGCTTTTGGCCGGCGCAAGATAGCGGTGGCGCCTAAATAAGATGTATTAGAAATTTGCGGCATTTATAAGAACTATCAATACTTTTTGTTTTTGTCACGAATTTCGCAACAATAAGAAGTATTGATAGTTCCTAAAGTTGCCGCAGATTCTATTTAGGCGCCACCGCTATTCACTGTCACGTCAAATACATTGGTTCTTATGGCAGAGAAGCACACGTTGCAGTTAAATTATAGAAAACTCAAGTGAAATGCAAAGGTGTTTTGAAATAACCTGAAAATATCCGGATTATTGTGCCATGCAATGTGATCTCTGAAATAAGCTAATTTGAAGAACTTCTTCTCGCAGCTCGACACCGTCCCAACTGATTTGTGAATGTCTAAATAATGTGATTGCATTTCTTTGTTGTTGAGGTAAACGTTGTTGCTGAACACCTATCACACGAAGCATCGACATAGCTCGGTATCTCTATGTCATTTCCATAGTTTTCATTAGAATTAGTTTCAACCGATGACGAACTCGGTTGTATTCTTGGATGTTTTCGTTCCATATGACTTCTATATTCATAGGTGTTCCGAAAGTATCGGTCACAAACGTTGCAAGAGAATTTCTTGGTTGAAAAAGCATTATGCCGTTTCAGGTGATCAATGAGGGTATATCGATGCTTGTGTTCTAGCTTGCATACTCGACATCTGAAAAATTCAATGAAAAAAACTCTTCATATTATGATATCGTTATTCGTCAACTGAAGTAAGCAATAGAATAAACTTTATATTGCCATAATTTTGTGTGTTTGAGTTCAATCTGTAAGTCTCTGGATCGATGTGCCATTGAACATGATCCAAAGCTCCTTTGTTATTAAACATTTTATTTCCGCAACATCGGAGATAGCCTTTTGGATTTTTGTGTTCTGATAAATAATGTGATTTGGCCATTGTGATACTATCGAGCTGAACATCACATTGTTCACATTTCCGATCGAAATATCCCTCGATTGTACTTTTTATTTGTACCTCGCTTATATTGAACTCGATGCATTTAATTTCGTTTATATAATCTGCAATGAAATTAGTCAAATTGAATATCAAAAATGTATGAACAGACTGTTCAACATCAGACACGGACTTGTACAATGAAAATTATTTACCTTCTAAACCGTTTGAATGAGTCACTTCCAGGTGAATTTCCAAATGCTTTTGAGTATTGAAACTTTGAAGAAAAAACTTAGATTATGACTTCAATTTATTAAAAGATAGCACCAACTTACCTTTGATCGCATTGATCGCATGGAAATTTCGCTTTATTTGCATGTACAGTAAGAATATGACGTTCCAAGGATGTAAATGCAGTAAAAACCTTCGTGCAAATATCACACGTGAATTGTTTGAAATGTTTGAGTTCGTGCTGTCGATACGATTGATAAGTTTTCTTTACTTCTCCACAAATCTGACACCTGTGCTTTGACAATGAAGAATTTTTTTATTTTTTTTATTCTTCTCAACTTTATATTGAACTCCACTGTTGACGCATCTAGAATCTCTTATCGACTCACTTGAACAATTCAGGATTCAAATGCCACACAATATGGGAATGGAAATCAAAAGGTCGTGGAAATTTCAGTGAACAACATTTCACATAACCTCGCTCATTGTTATGCTTAACTTCATAGTGCTGAATGGCTTCTTCTAGTGTTTGGAATGAGGCTTTACAGAAATCGCAACTCATATCAAAGTATTGGCCAATGATTTGCTGTTGTTGATCAGAGCTAAAATCACTGATGTGTCGTGGAAGTCGAAGACCGTCACCAACCTCTGTCAGCTCATTGCGATCGATCAGTTCATTGTCATCACCAATATCATTGGTATCAGAGAATCCCCGTTCATATATAGACTCATAATAAAGTTTACTTTCTTCTAATTCCATATTCTCATCTTCGTCTTCAATTAGCATTCTGACAGGCCGCAATGGGTTAACACAAACCATTTCCTGATGGAATTCTGGATCAACAGTTGGAACCGCGTATTCTAAAAAATGTACACGAATCAAGGACCAAATGTAAATGACGAACAAACAAAGTAATATACCTCCAATATTTTCATCTTTGACAGCTTTATCGAGATGTTGTCGCAGATATTCTTCACGCAATGCAATGGTTTCTTGGGAAAACTTGCGAAATGCTTCAACTTTGTCCCAACATTTGATGCAAATTATTTTTGGGTAAAACAGAAACCTCCCCAAAAATTACTAAAACCTCCCCAAAAAATACCAAAACCTCCCCAAAAAATACCAAAACCTCCCCAAAAAATACCAAAACCTCCTAACCTTTTATTTGTTTATTCAGAATAAAACCACTCGATTTCAACTAAAACT